GTGCTGCCAGTGTGTGTGTGTGTGTGTGAGAGAGAGAGAGAGAGAGAGAGAGAGAGAGAGAAAAGCGTCCAAACCAACTTTTCTTGATTATACATACTCCATTGCTACAACTAATGAATCAAGTATGTACTGAATGTTTACCATGTACTGAGCACAATGCAGCAAGTACTGTTCATCCCATTCTATTCTCCCACCAAAACCATCCAGTTGTTCACACACTTAATTTTCCATATGAGCATGTTCACCTAAAATTATGCCATCAAATCCAAATTTCTCTACCTGTCCCGAACCTAAAGACCAGATTTCCTACTATAAAAATGCATATTCACATATAAACTATCACTAGTAGGATACAGAAAAGTGGCCTCTTAAGCTAGGATTAAATAAATATTTACCTGTCACAATACAATGTTTCATACTCTTTGAATGCTTTATCAAATGGTAAAAAGAAAAAAAAATCTGGCATTCTTAAAATGTGGAACATGCCTTCCTCAGGTTTCTCAACTCTATCACCTGTCATAGCCACCAATTTTCTTTACTACACTGTTACCAAAAACATCATAAAACTCTAGGTAACTAAATAACAATGCAGTGCTTAAATCTTTTTTCCTCGATAGGAAAGCAGCAATAGTTAAGAGGCAGCTCAGAAATATGTCAAAAGAATGATCAATATTTCCTAGGCATGTGCTTCCCTTTTTTTTTTAATATTTAAAAGGATTTATTATTTTTAAGATACACAATTAGTCCTCGAAATCTTCAAAGACACGGGCACAGACTTTCGAACTCTGATCAGGTCAAGTACATAGAAGCCTGTGAGACAGTCTCAGCAGAAAAAGCTGATTTCTTCCAAGAGGCCTGATACTCCAGCTGTGCTCAAACTGCCCTCCCTCACCCCTTTCAAACTGCTTCTATTCCAATGGGAATGCACATGGTAGGGTACTGAGACTGGGGATTGAATCCAAGGCTTTCTGCATGAGTTACATCCCTAGTCTGAAGCTTTTTGTTTTTTTTTTTTTTCATTTTTCTTTTATTATTCATATGTGCATACAAGGCTTGGTTCATTTCTCCCCCTGCCCCCACCCCCTCTAGTCTGAAGCTTTTGATGTCACAATGATTTCAGAGGTCAGCCTGGGCAAATAGTTGTTGAAACCCTCATCTCCAAAAATAACCAGAGTAAAATGGACTGGAAATATGGCTCATGTGGTACCTGCTTTGCATGCAGTAAGCCCTGAGTTCAAACCCCAGTACCACCAAAATAAATAAATAAACAGATAGAAAGAAAGATAGATAGATAGATAGATATGTGACTTGAGATCCCTCTGACTGCCTCCTGAGTGCTGAGATTACAGGCAAATACCAACTCTCCTAGCCCAATGCTTCTTTTCTGACTTCTATATCCTCTTTTTTCTTTTGCAACTACTTTGCATGACAGAGTCCTCAAAAATTCTCATCTTTAAGGAGGTTCTTAGATACTCATTTTTTGACATTTTAACATCTTTGAGATTGAAATTTATCTTTCTCTTTTTCACTGCTGGGGATCAAATCCAGGGTACATTGCTAAATAGGTATTCTATCACTGAGCTACTTATCAGCCCAGAAACTTATAATTGATGACATCTTATAGCTGCTGTCACAGTGAGGTAGCAGTCATGACATAGTTGTCATTGACTATACATATGAGAACATTAAAAGGGAATCAAAATTTGTAAAACAAGTATTAGTAGTTGGAAGAAAATCTGGTGAAGAATCAGAGAATTTTTATCTCTTAAAAGCCAAGGGGTTAAAGGGAGGGGTGAGAAAGGTGGTGACAGAGATATGCTAGGAGTTTTTTCAAAGCTGGAAACAAAAGCAGAGTCAACTTAAAAGTAGATTTTAGGTATTTTATTTACTTTTTTCTTTGTAGTACTGGGGTTTGAACTCAGGGCCTCATGCTTGCTAGACAGGCACTATGCCACTTGAACCACACTACCAACATGTTTTATACTGGGTTTTTTCGAGATAGGGTCTGCCAAACTATTTGCTCTGGCTGGCTTCAAACCAGGATCCTCCTGATCTCTGCCTCCCAAGGAGCTAGGGTTATAAGTGTGAGCCACTGGCACCTGGCTAAGTGTTTTATTTTAATTGATTTTTTTTCATATTCATTAGCACCTATTAATTGTACAATGTGGGGGATTTCATTGTTATATTTCCATATATGCATATAATGTACTTTGATCATATTCACTCCCTCGATTATTCTTATCCCCTTTCCTCCCTTTTTTAGCTTTCAAAAATATGGAAGGCTTTATGAATTTGTATCATTCTTGTACAGGGGTCATGCTAATCTTCTCTATAGCATTCCAATTTTAATATATGTGCTGCCAAAGGAGCATTAAATTGATTCTTTTAAGAAATGCTAGCAAGCTTCGCACTGTGGCTCATGTCTGTAATCTTAGCTACTCAGGAGGCACAGATCAGGAAGACCAAGGTTCAAAGCCAGCCCAGGCAAACAGTTCACAAGACCCTATCTCGAAAATACCTAACATATACACAAAAAAAGGGCTGGTGGAGTGGCTCAAGATGTAGGCCCTGAGTTCAAGCCCCAGTACTACAATTAAAAAAAAAAAAAGAAAGAAAGAAATGTTAGCCAATCACTGGAGGTTGACTGATGCCTGTAATCCTAGCTATTTGGGAGGCTGAGATCCAGAGGATCACACTTCGAGGTCAGCTTGAGCAAATTGTTCTTGAGACCTCATCTCTGAAATAGCCAGAACAAAATGGACCAGATGTGTGGCCCAAGCAGTAGAGTACCTGCTTTCTAAGTGCGAAGCCCTGAGTTCAAACTCAAGTCCCACAAAAAAAAGAAAGAAATGAATTGCCAGACATAGTGACATACACTGGTAATCCCAGCACTTGGGAGGCAGAGGTGGAGGATCATGAGTTTGAGGCTAGCCCGGGCTATGTAGCAAGTACAAGGTAAAGCATAAGCTGCCTATTAAAACCCTGACTCAAAAGAACAAAACAAACAAAAAGAACTGTTGCATTACTAACAATCTTTTTTGGCAATACTGGGGGTTGAATTCAGGGCCTTGAACTTGCTTGGCAGGCATTCTACCACTTGAGCCACTCCACCAGATTTTTTTGTCTTTTCCTTTTTTGCAGTACTGGGGTTTGACCTCAGGGTCTCAAACTTGCTAGGCAAGCAAGCACTATACCACTTGAGCCATGTTCCCAGCCCTCTACATCACTCTTGATGACACAACAGAAGATGCTGTGGGATAAACACAGACATTGATGATTCCCAGTCAAAAGTGATTCAGGAGATAGGGATGTGTAGCTCAGTGATACAAAGCTTGCCTAGTGAGGTCAAGGCCCTGGGTTTGATCCCCAGCAACACACACACAAACACACACCCATAACACAAGTGATTCAGATGAGGCAAACATGTGAGGTAGTTTTAAGAATATCTTGGGCTGGGGGAGTAGCTCAGTGGTAAAGCAATTGTCTACCATGTGGCAAAGCCCTGAGTTTGATCTCCAGCACCAAAACAAAAAAAGAAACAATGAAAAATCAGTAACAAAAAAAATCACCAAAATATCTTAATTTATTTCACTGGTATTTTCTTATTTATTGTACACCAAAGTAATCCATGATTTAATTTGTGGGGGAGAGGGTACTAGGGTTTGAACTCAGGGCTTTGTGCTTGAGACATGCCTCCAGCCCAGATACATGAGTTAAAATAAATAAATAAAATTTAAAAAACAAAAAAATATGTAGCTGGGAATGGTGATGGATGACTTTGTTCCTAGCACTAATGAGAGAGAGGCAGAAGGATTAAGTTCAAGACTAGCCTGAACTACACAGTAAGATCCTGTCTCAAAAAACCCAAAAGTCAAAAAAACCCAAACCAGACCAGGGGTGTGTGCAGAGTGGCTCAAGTGGTAGAGTGCCTGAGTTCAAACCCCAGTACCACCAAAAAAAGATTAAAAAGGCTAGTTAAGCAAAACAACCCTCCCATCTAATTAAATCAAAGAGCCAGAGTTCTTTCAGTAGGTATAAAGTAAAAATTTCAAGGAAAAAAAAAAGAAAAAACTCTAAGTTTAATTGGTAATGTTTTACATTCCTTTTTTTTTTTTTCTTGTGGTATTGGGGCTTGAACTCAGGACCCAAACCTTGAGCCACTTCACCAGCCCTTTTTTGTGAAGGGTTTTTCTGAGATAGGGTCTCGCAAACTATTTGCCTGGGCTGGCTTCAACCCACAATCCTTCTGATCTCTGCCTCCTGAGTAGCTACGATTTCAGGCATGAGCCACAGGCATCTGGCATGTTTTTCATTCTTAGTGTTGCATAAAATAATGATGTGCTCTTAATAGATGGCAATATTAATTATATGAAATACAGTGTACCAAATATCCTAAACCTCTTTACTAACATATTATAGATCATTTTCAAAATATTTCACCAGGTACTGGTGATTCATGCCTGTAATTTTAGCAACTTGGGAGGTTTAGATCAGTAGGATCAGGGTTCTAGGCCAGCCACGGCAAACAGTTCTAAGGACTTCATCTCCAAAATAATCAGAGCAAAATGGAATGGAGGCGTGGCTCAACCATTAAGAGCAACTGCTTTGCAAGTCTGAATGAAGCCCAGAGTTCAAACCCTAGTCCCACCAAAATTAAAAAAAAAATTCAAAGCCATAGAGATATTTCTGGCCTATGAACATGGTAACGAAGTACCAGATATGCAGATACAAAAATACTCCTATCCTCTGTATACAAATATTTCTCTCTCTTTTTTTTTTTTCTTTTTTGGTAGCTCTGGGGTTTGAACTCATAGTCTCACACTTGCTAGGCAGGCACTCTACCATTTGTGCCATGCTCACAGTCCCATAACTATTTATATTGCAGAAATCTTTTTTTTAACACTTTTATAATTTGAGCCCAATACCATTTGTATTAATCATCTATACAACGTATCAGATTATTCTACCTCAGAATTACGCAGTCTTTGCTGTCAACATACCTATTTCTCGAGCAAGAATAATACTGCTGAGGCGTATTGGTTGGGTAGATTCAGCAATGAGAACTGCTCTTTGAGAACATAAGGTGCCATTTTCATATAGAGGCTCAACAGTAACTGCATCATGATGGGTGGAGTGCCTGCCAGAACAAAATACTTAAAATATATGGAATACGTGGATTAAAGTTAAACTTTGAGGTCTGGGGATGTGGTAGAGCTTGCTTAGCAAGCTCTAGGCCCTGATTTCAAACCCCAGTACCACCACCAAAAAAAAAAGAAAGAAAAGCTTACTTTGGTGGAAGAGATGTCTATACTTCTTCTATGTTACATACTACCAGGTTTACTTAAATGACTTTTTTTTTTTGGTGGTACTGGGGCTTGAACTCAGGGCCTACTCCTTGAGCCACTCCACCAGCCTTTTGTGATTTTTTTTTTTTTGAGATAGTCTTGTGAACTATTTGCCTGGGCTGGCTTTGAACAGCTATCCTCCTGATCTCTGTCTCCTGAGTAACTAAGATTATAGGAGTGAGCCACCCTGGTTTTCAGTTTATTTGTTGAGATGGGGGAATCTCACTAACTTTTTGCCTGGGCTGGCTGGTCTGGAATAGGGAACATCTCAATCTCTGCCTACCTGCCTCCCAAGGAGCTGGGATTAGGTACAGATGTGAGCTACCACGGCTGGCTCTTTTTCTAAGAGACATCCATTTAGGATGAAACCAGCTCTGGTATTTTGAAGTTCACTTCAATTAGGCTCCTCACAGCTTAGGTAACCACAGAACCAAACACTGGATCCTTTCACACTAGAAAACCACTCTTTCCATGTTCAGTCAGGATAGTCACTAATCCCAGAGCTGAGTTACCCCTTGTCTCCACACGTTCGGTGAGTCCCCTTGTGTAAGCGGGTAGGGTAGGTATACCACAGTCAGAACTCATCACAACCCAAGACGGATCTTGCATTTCAAGCTTACACTTCATGGTCTCTTGAGCCTCAATCTCCTCATAAAGTGGAAAGAACAGTACTTACTACCTAAGACTGTAGAAAGTGAATGAGATAATGGCTGCAAAGTGCTCAAATACTCAGTACTTAGCTGCTGTTTTAGGATGCTCTCACTTTAAACAGCTTGCCCTAGTGGGGACCTTCGGACCCCTGTTCTTCCTGATCCTAGAAATTTCCTCAGATCTTGGGAATTCCCTCTCACCCTCGCTGCTCACATTATCGTACACTGCAAACCCCTCACATTAGGGAGCCATCGACAATGCAGCCTCCTGACGGGCACATTCCTTGTGCCCCAAAGGCTGCTCGCGCGGACTACCAGTCTCCCCTAAGGACCCTCTGGCGCCCTACTCTCCTTCCCTACCGTTAGGCCCTTCACAGAGTGACCAGAGCATTCCTGTGGGGACTCACAGCGGTCGCTCTCCCATCCTTGGTGGACAGTGTCATCTTGTGACCCCCTAAGCCCCTTACCAGGTGTAACAGCCCCGCTGCGCCTCCAGCAGGAAGGGTACCCGGCCTGGCTGCCGGCCGAAGGGTAGCAACACCTGTGGCACGTTAAGTTTGTTGGCTAGGGTCCCAAGCAAACACAGCAATAGAAACAGGAGGCGGTGTAGAGACAAGCGGAAAAAGAGCCGGAAGCCTTGACGTCCAGGGGTCCCAGAGCGAGTCATGGCGACTGCGGGGGAGGGGGGTCTCCGGTTCCCGCTCAACTACAGCCGCGCTCTCAGCACCAACACCGGCCAATCGGCAGCCACAACGTTAGCAGGAGGTGGGTCTTTCTTGCTTGGAATTGTGGGAATTTTTTATGAAGTACTTCAGTAAGACTTTATGGAAATTTCAGTAACAAACCCATCTACCCACTTAAAGGGCTACTTTTTTTTCAAATATCGGATGGCAGAACTTTTTAAAAAAATGAGGAATAGGTAAAAAAGTAAAAAAAAAAAAAAAAATTCTCCCAGATTCTCATTATTCTGTTTTCTGAATCAGAGATTAAACAGAATAATTTCCAGTCTCTAAACACCCGGACTTGGTCAAAGGGAGCCGTGTAACTTTTACTAGGAAGTCAGATTCATGTCCCTCTTCAAAGCCACAGGAAATGCCAAACACTGGCATCTCAAAGGCAGCTTTGAAACCCATCCACTCATAGTCTGTCTCTAAGCAAATACTCCTTGGAAGCATTTGTTAAATTAACTTGTTTTCTCCAAATATCCAATAGAACATTAACTGAAAGGCTGTCTCAGGTCAGTGTACTAAAATCATTTATAAGAGTATGTGATCAACATCACATTAAAAAGCATAATAAATCCATGGTTTATAAAAATGAATGCATATAGCTGTAAAGAAAAATGTGTAACTGGTCCATGTAGTATTAAGTAACCTATAAAGGTTCTGGCACACAAATAATCTGCACATGTACCCTGAGAGTATGTTATCTCCATTTTACAGATGATGGCACTAAGTGATTTATATTCGGACAGAAAAACTACTACAAATTTAAGAACTGAGTTTTTGAACCCACTTTTGGTCTGCTTCCAAATTGTGTGTGCTACATTAAATTCTGTTACCACCCACAAACATCTGATTTTTCAACCCAAATTTCATAGCTCTTATGGAGAAAGCACATTTGGTTTAATAAATAAAAGTCAAGTACATATGAGGGTTGGCGGGACTGGTTCTTTATTTCAAAAAGACACTTGTCAATATTCAGTATCAAAACAGTTGCACTATTGGTTTCTTTCTCCCAACTGGCCCCAAAGTGACCACAATAAAGGAGAATACATTTTAGCCAATAAGCTGCAGGATGTACACCTAACAGACCTCACAGAAACCTCACCTAAAAGTGGGAATTGGGTGGGGAAAGAAACTTCAAAAGATCAGCACACTACCAGCCCTCAGACTGTAGAGGTCTCACAGTCAGACAAGGTGGCCAGGCCTCCCCAACCCCATAGATGCAAAGTTTCAAAATAATATAAAAGTTTTGTACATAAGCTATTCAAGATTTCTCCAGCATGGATACAAAGCACAAGATGGCACTTTTAGAGACAGCAGCTTCAGACCCAGAAATGGGTGAGAGATGAATTTCATATGGTTAAATCAGTGGCAAAAACATAATTTTCGTTCTTCCTTCAAGGAGGCAAGACAGCAATTAAGTGGTCACCTCAAAACTAGGGGGCACATGATCCTTTGCGTGACCAGTTGTGAAGGGGGTAGAGATAAAACAAAAATCTGGTCTCAGGGCTGAGGATGTGGCTCAATGATAGAGCACTTGCCTAAAAGGCAGGAGGCCCTAGGTTTAATCCCCAGCACTGAAAAAAAGAAAGAAAGAAAGAAAGGCAAGGGGGTTGGTCCTCAGAGGTCTTACCATCCTAATTTGGTCACTTCTGATGAAAAAAAGTAAAAAATAAAAGTCCAGAAGATAACTTAAAGCTGAAAACCTGAACAGCACGGTATTTGTTTATTTTTTGGCTAACACCTCCTAGAATCACCTTTTCGGTTTGGCTGATACTTTGTACAGAGCAATGAGGTTTCCCGTGGTGGAGTCTTTTGCTAGGCTCTGTTTGGCTCGTGGTAAGGCAGGCCCATACCTGTTTTCCTCCTCTGGAGGGCAATATGCCTTAGGCTGAAAAGTTACCTTTCAAAAGTGAGAAAGGAATTAGATTGCTGCTTCAGAGCTGTGGAAAAATTTGGAATGTTTTACAAATGGTTGCTGTAACAACAAAAAAAAGTAATTACAAAATGTGTACATCACAACATGCTTTTAAAGACACTTTGCATTGTGCTCACATTCCCTTAAATGTTCCCAAAAGTGCTCAGCCTCTAGCCCAACTGGAATCTCTGGGAAGAGGCAGGAACAGTTTTGGTGAAAAAAAGACATGAGGGACAGGGTAGAGGGGGTGGCAAAAGGAGAAAGCAGCCTTCCAGTTAAAGATCAACCCTCAGTTTCAAGGTCAGCTTCAGACAGGCTGGCCTCAGGCGGAGTTGGGGTCAGAGGGAGGAGCAGCAGCAGGGTGGGACTGGGGAGCTCTACATCTCGTTCAGGTCAAGCAGAGTCTGGTCCAGCATTCTTTGTGTACAGAGGTGCTCCTCTTTGGTGCATTTCAGTTTATCTAATGGGGGTAAAGGAGAGAAGTTACAAAAAGTAAATTTCAAGCTCTGCCCACTCTCTGAGACTTGCTCTTATTGCAGGGAAGCTGCACACTAATAAAGCAGCTGCCTTCGCAAACAGAAGTGAGCTGTTGCATCACTGGATTCTGTATGGCCTCTGGCTTGCATACTAAAGCTACAGAGTTGCTGTACTTCCTGGGCAGGGAGTTGAGGACCTTATCAACCATTTCCTCTCCCTTCCACAACCAATAAGGCTTTTAGCTTTCAGTCACTAAAGCAGCAGGCCTGAAGAATCAGCCATCCACTCTTCTAGGCTTTGCCCATAGGACAGTATCTACTTGAAAGTAGGTTCTCTAGAGTGTGATCATTGCAAACAAGGATGGGCATATTTCTACCTCTACAAGACACCAATCTCAACTAAAGAGTACAGGAAGATCCTCATACAACATATATTTTCTCCAAAAAGTAGAGGTGAAGGAACAATTGTTAGAATAAACAAGAGTCCTCAGTGCTAAGCCAAAGATTCTAGAGAAAAAGCCAAGCATACTATCAAACACATACTTGTAAGCAAAACCTTAATTGAGATTTTTGCAGAGCCATTAGCCAGAAATAGACTGTGAGAGAATTACTTGTGATTAAACATAAAACCAGGAAAAAAGAAGCAAGAAGGAAAGTACCAAGAAGAAAACCAGTGGTGGAATATCAAGGAACATCTCATTTGCTTAGAAAGCTAACCACTGACTGCTCAAAGCAGGTGATGGCAACACAGACCCATACTCCTATCCCACACCCTCTTTCCCTTCCCTTTTTTCACCCATTCAGGGCCCAACCCTGGGCCTGCAGATGAAGCAGTTACAACATCTTGTCAAGTCAGTCTTTTTATTGTTAGAAAACATCCATGCAAGGGAACATAACCTACAGTCAGTGTACGAGTGAAAAGGCAGCAGTTAAGGGTGGAAAACAGAAAATTCTCTTAAGTTTCTCACTATTATCTCTTAAGCCTTTTCCTTCATCTCTTGTAAGTGCAGTTATCTAACTGCTCCAACTTTACTGTGCTGCTAGGAAATCAACAGTATTCTAACTGCCCCAATTAAAAAGCAACTTGCTTAGGGCAAAATAACAACTTTTAAAAAGACAATCAGCTTTTTGTTGGGGTCCAGGTCAGTGGTGTGAGCAGTAAGCTCGGTTTACTGGGCATCAGTGAGCCCTGCCCATCAGTCACACAGATCATGCAGCGTTAGCTTCAGCTCATTAGAAAGCAGGCGGTTTCGCTCAAGTTGGCTGTAGAGACGCTCTGCAGTAGCAACAGATAGGAGGGAAAACAAGAAGAGAGGAGAAAGAGGAGGAGAAAGAGAAAAAAAAGGAAAGTTAGTAGAGCACCAGAAGTAAATAAGTCAACTAGATGGTATACATAGCATGCATCTATCTGTAAGGCAGAATGGATGCAAGGAGGACTCAGAGGGCAACAAGAGTCAGTCAGGCGGTAGAAAGACCAACACAGGAATAAAATAAGAATCTCAGACTGACAAGTTGGTAGGACCACATTTTGAGGGAGAAAAAAAAACATCCCTTCACAGTATTTATTCCTTGGGTTGAAAAACTGAAACAAGTGAAAGAGGGCAAAGAGAGGATATAGTTGGCTTAGAAGAAATGGATTCATAATAATCAGGGTTTGAAAAGAACCGAAGTAGATAGCTGAACATGTTTCTGTAAAAGCACTCAACACAGCATTATGCACAATAGATTGAAATAAATATCCCTACCCATTCACACCTACATTTTCAAATGCTTCTTTGTGTAGATACTGTGTGATAGACTAAACCATCTATATCCTATCCTATCCACTCTATACCCAATTTTCCCTTCATTTCTAAAAAGAACTTCAAACTGGTTAGTGTCTACTGTGTGCTCAGTCAAGGGAAGATCAATTACTGCTAAAGTCAATTAAGATCACTGTCTTTTGTTTGTTCAGACTCCCTTGCAGCTAGGGGTGGTAATATGAACTAGCTCTGGCTAATGGGATAGTCTTTTTGGGGGGCTCCTAGGAAAATTTTTAGCTTTCCCTCTTGCCTTGAACATGGATATGATATCTAGAGCTATGTATTTCAACCTTAAGAAAAAAGGCCAAGATAAAGAAATCCCAGTTATAGTCACTCATGGCTAAAGATGTTAGATGGTAAAAATCTCATATTTTTTTTATTACAAAGCTACTATTCAACGCTTTCTTAAAACCCAAAGCATTCCTGATAGAAGTAGTTGGGTGTTCAAGTTCACTGTGTTTTTACTTGGAGAACACAAAAGGGAAGCAAGATACAAGAAATTCTTTCTTTATTTATTTGTTTATTTATGACAGGGTCTTGTATGTATGTAGCCCAAGCTAGGCTCAAACTTAAACCATCTGAGTGTTACCACATCTGGCTTCAGATCTCTTAACAGCACAGAGGTAACAAGTTTGGGGACAGGAAGCCTAAACTCATTAAAGGTCAATTCCTAGCGTTAGCCTCTAAAGTTCACAAGTAACTTACTTAACAGCCTGTTTCAAAATAATCTCAGGATGTCAAAAGACACTTTTCTGTCCCCAAATCAATGGCATCTGTGGACAATTCTCCTGCACCTTGACTTCTGGGTTGAGGTTTACCCTAGTTCAACCAGGAAGCTGGGGCAGGGGGGTAGGGGGAGTGGGCACACAACACTCCCAATAGTACTCGCCATTTTATGCATACTATTAAGACAGAGAGAATGTACGTATGTATATAACAGCTTGTGAGACAATGACCAAATATAATAGTTGTAGTTTAGAGCAGAAATTTAGGCAAACTTTTTTTTCTTTTCTGTGTTTTATTTTTTTTTTTTGAGGTGACTGGGATTTGAACTCAGGACTTCACGCTTGCAAAGCAGGCACTCCACCACTTGAACCATATCTCCAGTCTTTTTTTCTTTTCTTAAAGTGGTTGGGACGAACCATGGGCCTCAAACATGCTAGGCAAGCTCTCAACCCTGAGCTATGCCACTCACTGTAGGGCTTCCCATTAAACCAGTGGATTATTGTTTGTTTTTAAAGACATAGGGTATTGTTCTTTTGCTTTGAATACCCCTGAACTACCAAGCTCAAGCAGTCTTGCCTTAGCTCTCAAGTAGCTAGGACTATAGGTGTGTACACATGGCTAAAGCAACGGCTCTTTCTTTTTTGGTAGTACTGGGATAAACTTAAGGGCGTTCCCACTTGCTAGGCAGGCACACTACTACTTCAGCCATACCTCCATTCATTCATTCATTTATTTATTGGTGATACTAAATTTTGAGCTCAGGCCTTTGCACTTGTCAGGCAGGCACTTTATTGCTTGAGCCATGCCTCCAGCCCTAGGTGGTTCTTAATAGCGCCAATACTGTCCCTTGCCTCCCCTAAGTAAGAAAATGAGAATGTATGCAGGTGAGTTTGATTGTCACAATGAGCAGAAGACTCTATAAATATTGGCTAGAGTAAAACGATATGCAGGATCTTTTTTGCATCCAAGAATTATCAAAGGATGAAAGTTCACCATTGAGAAACAATATCTGCCTATAAACTCCAAGAGGTCTGGGGTTGGACCTGTCTTAATCCTGTGGCATCCTTTTTTTGTCCTTTTTCTTTTTTTGAGTAGGTCTCGCTATATATAGCCCAGGCTAGTCTTGAATGCACCATCATCCTGCCTCAGTCTCCCAAGTGCCAACCACACCTGGTTCCCTGGGACATTCCTGACAAATAGTAGACATCCAAAGTCATGAACTTTCACCTTTCAAACTGTAATGCTATATAACATATAAATCCCATCTATATCCAAGTTACGTGTAATTGCCACTCCTGTCTTGGGAAAGAAGAGTATTTTCAGAATCTTGTCCTTAAAACAGTCTAGTCAATGATGGTTTTGTTCCATTTAGGTAAGAAATATCAGTAGGAGCATTTTATTACCTGATTAAATAAATCCCTGAACACAGTTTCCTAAAAATTGCACAACGTCAGAAAGACAGATGTTTCTCATCTTGAACTTAGCTTCTAACTCTCTTTAATGACTAAAACTTCAAGACCAGATACTAGCTCATTAAAGCTCTTGGTTCTGTAACAGCAAAGCAAAACAAGACAAAGTACAGAACCCACTGGGTCTGATGTTCTCTTTAGCCATGCCCAACTAATTAAAAGAATAATCTCATGGAGCCAGAAAGTATTTGAGAAGTGAAGGGAAAAAACTGCACCTGGGCTAAAGCTGTCCAGTTTTACCCATCAGGTAACATGGGTCCAGCCACATTTTGTTCCTCATTCCCGTAATTGTTAACCAGGAAGGGAAGAATGAGCTCTCACTTATCAGCCTGGAGCTCTTAGAGGGAAAAATGTTAAGGAGTGAAGTGTTTTGTTCTGATGATTGACCCTATCCCTACAGGCTCGAGTAACAGGATGGCTCCTTCGAGGCTACAGAGCATTAATAGGAGGAATAAATTCAGCACTACACAGTATTTCACATTTCACTCTACTACCCTGGCTTTTTTTTTTTTAACAAGAGGTGTGCCCATAGGGTAAAGTAGGAATGATCAGAGACATCACTTCCCTTTTTTCCCATTTTCCTTTTGTTCTTTCCTACTTCAAAGTCTTTCTCCACATCAAAGCCAACTGCTGCCCCCAATAGTAAACAAGACCTGAGCTATTCAATACAGTTGCCACCAGCCACATGTGACTAATTAAATTTAGATGAACTAAAAAGTAAAATTAGCATTTTAGCTCCTCAGTAAATTCCACTGGATAGTAACACTGTAAAACATCATCCTTACTGCCTTTTTTCTTTTGCCCCTTATATATGGTTCATCCCCTTGCTCAAAATGTACCCTCAAGTTACAACAGTATCAATGAATGTCCCACCTTAGTTTTTCAGATGTGTGCTTTTCTCCCTTCTTCTGACTCCTCAAATCAGAACATGACCTCCCTAAATCTTTAATACTACCACTTTCCCAGTCTTAAAACCAGTCACCTGAC